CAGAATTCGACATTTCATATGCAATGGACTCAATAACTTTTGACGTTAATGTTTTCTAATATTTCCGATTTTTTCCTTCAATTCAATATTTTTGTCACTATTTCTACAAATAGATACAAATGTAATTAAAAGAATTGAATTGCCTGTTTAGATACTTCCGGAGTGCACATTTCCGCTTCGTTACTATTGCAACAAGGTCTTCGGATTAGCAGCGTAACTGGCTAGAATCATTGAGCAGAGATTATGCTAATTATCGAACATAATTCCTTATATATAAGGAAAGATGTTTTTAAGATAAGAAATTTATAATTGTTTTCAATTTTTAAGATAAGAACTTTCTAATCATTTTTAATTATTTGCAATTATATACTTTCTACAATTTTCTCCAAAAGTGTCAGAATTTAATTGATTTCAATAGACATAAAATCTAATTATTAATTAATGATTATACAAATATTACCAAACTTGCTCCGGGCACGTATCCGTGTTCCATATGCACGAGAAACAAATATATTTTAAAGAATCTTTACTACTCGAAAAATGTCAAACACAAAATATTACGCCATGTTGATAAACATGTGGAAAATGAAGTGCGTTAAACATGTGATCATATATTTTCAAAATAAACATGTTGTTTTGGAAATCAAGGAAAAAGAAGAAACGCGATAATTTAATGTCTATATTTTTTTTTCTTTTATTTTGTTTTTTAAAAATCTCACACGTAGCAAAAGTCATCATTAATTACAGTATTATTTACAACATTTCTTCGATTTAAAATTTAATATTTTTTTAATTAGTAGTTTATAGTTTTTTAATAATATGTATCAAATTATATAATTATAATTTATATATGCTTATTATAATTATAATATTGCTTCTATATAAAATATAACAATTTTTATATCAAATTAATATATTGATTATGAAATGTACTAAATTACCGAAAAATTTGGAAAAAGATTTCAACTTGCAAACTTTAAAATTTAAAAAAATATTTTTTTTAAAGAATTATGTCATTTATCATCAGGATTTTCAGTATGATTCTGTATGTTTTTCCAAGATTCCTAACTTTAGATTAGCTTGTTTGAAAATAAAGCAATGGTAATCTTAAAGTACGAAAGGAATCTCGGTCAAGATTGCTTAACATTTAATTCGATCTTCGATCTCGCGACTCAGGGTTAATTCGATTGATCATTGCCAACTCTCACTACCTTGACTCGTCTCCTTCCTTAGATAAACAAACTAAACGATGTCCTGTCATCTATCGCGCGCAACGAAAGTAACTCCTTTACGCCGGAATCTATTTTATATGACAAAAATAAAAAAATATATAAAAATTGTTCGCATAATATGTTCGCATAATATGTTCGATCCAATAATGATATTTTTTACATTGTGACATCCTACAAAAGAAATGGTGCAAATTACCTCGGTCGTCGGACATAAATCCCCATTCTCATATTTTCGCGTTTCTTTCTTGTAACACTTGCATATCCTGCTGAACAGTGATCTGTTCTTCGTCTTCATTTCGTCACCTCACTTTGATACCGTCCTCGACCTTGACCTTTCCTACTCCGCTTACACTTTTCTGGTTAAACTGGAATTTTGCGAGTCTTTACGAATGACTACACTGTCCGCTTATCGACTGTCTCAGAACGTTATCAAGAACCGTCTGACCCTGAACGAGATCTTGCAAAATAATTTTGACCAGTGTGTTATTAGCGCCATCTGAAAGTGTTTGCCTTTCGAAATATAGTATGAGAACTGAAAATCAATGTTGCGCCAGCCGAAGTCAAGTATCGAAATTACAGGTGTTGCAGATAACGCAGGCAGGAAACAATATATAATATGCATTAACATTGAAGAAATGTTGCTTCGAAGGAAATAAAAAAGACGTAAAGAATGAGTTATGTTTCTAATGCGAAAATTACCCCAAAGAAATGTCTTTAGTTGTTTTATAGCTAAAATTTGCATTTCAAAAAAGCGCAGTGAATTACAACATTCGATGATTTGATTAGAGGGATAAATTAAAATTTTTTTGTTATTGGATCGTTGCATATGAAATGATTTCGTGCCGAAGGCTTTATGCAATACTCATGAACATCTTTTGATAATCGAATATTATTATACATATCTAATATTATTATTATATATCTCATTAAAATAACATGATGCAAAAACACATTCCAGTTTTAGCAAAGCGTTTGCGATTTTTCAAGTTTCACTTTTTTTGGTTTATATTTGCAAATGACACTAATAAGATTGATATCAAATAATTCTACAAAAATCTGTCGATCCTGGACATTTGATCTTGAATCCGAGAGGAGACACATTTTAACATCTACATCCCTAGCAGGATCGTTTTGCGCATGTTGGGTCCTCATCGTAATTTTCTTGGCTCGAAATTCAAATATCTCAGAATAAAAAACGCATTGTCACTCTGAGAATAAATTTAGATATTTTCTTATTCATTATAACAACCGAAATATGTAAATATTAAAAGATATCTCTATTTTCTCATATTTATGCAGACGTAAAGCGATTTAATAGTGAATATAAAACATAATAAATTTAGAGATAGAACAAACAGATTTTCAGTCAATGAGAAAGAATTTGCCATATAAACACAAAATGTACAATAAAACATTATATCTTCGATATACTTTATAAGCTGTGGTATCTTTATAGTATCAATAAAGTACATATTTAAAGATAGGATATTTAGTGCTATAATATATTTTTTCAAAAAAGATATAGCTTATTCATTGCCATCATATATATTTTTAAAATAGGATATGGCTTTTACAGCGTCATAATATATTTTTCATTCTTAGATAGTTATAAGAAAATTTATGGACTGATTTCTAAGAAACAAAAAGCGTTTAAAAAATTCTTTTTCCCATCTCGTTGATCGTTTGTTGTGACAAATGTAAAGACAAAATGCGCTGCAATAATTTATATTAGAAGTGATAAAAATATGTGTTTTATAAAATATTTTTCAGAATACGAAGATTAAAATTTATTGAAGGCTCAAGTTGGCGTAATCTAATACTTTTTGATTACGATCTTATTTTTGCGAAATTAAATTTGATAACGGAATTGCAATTTCAAGTCTCCCTTCCGGAAGACTGAACGGAAATCATGTTTGTGGTTATCACAAGCTGTTTTAGAGATATAATAAAGCTGTTTCGCTTTATCATCATATCGTGAGTCGTTCGAATAAATTACGCATTTTTTTACTCAGGAAATCCATTCAGATCCGTTTCATTAATCTGCTGTGTTAATGGTCAAGGTTAAATTGATAATTTGCACAAAAACCCTTGGTACTTACGCAACGAAAGTCAAGGGTGCCATGAAAGGAGGGAGAGATCATCGACTCACCGATTGGTCAATGTGCTCCCATGTCTCCCTGACATAATCCCAGGCTTGTTCAGTCATCGTCCGCCAAAAGAAAAAAAAAATAACAACGAAAACGAGATGTGATAAATGTTGATGGAAGTCGTGATTAGCGACAAGCAATCACGACTCTCTTGAGATCACTGTGAGCTTACATCATTTGCACCGATGTTCATGGTCACAAATATAGCTTGATCTTTGAGCGTATGCGTCTTTCTTCGAGTATCGTTATGTAGGTACACTTTGACTGCATGCGTGTCTTTGTAAGATATTTTGAGCAAGCAGAAGTAGAGATGGGATTAAGTATCTCGCAAAATTAGTTTGAACTACTGATGGATAGTTACGGTTACTTCACGAGACACAAAAGCGATATTGTGTGTATCTATAAATTGGCATCCTCGAATATAAAATTCTTACGGTTTAAAAATGATTAATCACACAATTATAAGAAATTTTCTCACTGAATAAATACATAAATATCGCTTGCAAAACAGAAGTTAATACATAGATTTGCATCTCAATCACATCGACGTCGATTCCGATACCAGTCCAACGATCATCCATCAACGATCATAATTCATAAATTTCAAAACTCAAGTATATGACAAGAGTAAAGGCCTTAGTTCAAGAGTATAAATTGCTTCAGAACTTAAGTATTTGATTATTCAGAGATTACAAATAATGGAACAATTCCAAGGTCTGATAATTAAAGAAGAGCGTTTGTATTTAATTGTAATTCCTGAATTTTGCTTCATAAAGTTTGAATTTTATTTATAAAAATTCAATAATAATTTATGTGTTCATAATATTTGTAAATTTGTAAACGATCGATTTACTATTATCGAATCTCGAATGTTTATATTATTAAAAGATATATTTATATTTTAACATTTTCTTATGAGTAATACTTGAATTTAGATAATTAAAATGATGTTATAATTTCATTAAAATTTAGAATAATAAACAAATGATTATTTCTGTGTGTCTAGTAAAATTTGTGAAGGAATTGAATCTGCTTAGAATTTTATTTTTCTTGAAAATATAATATTTTTCCGAATATACTTAAGGAATTTGAATCTTATTCATATTATAGAAATGTATTTTTGTTAATTTCTATTTAATTTCTCAATTTTGCTTTAAACTAATAATTGTGTGTGTGCGTGCATGCGTGCGTGTATGATTTGATTCTTTGAAATTTTTATATAATTTATCTAAATACTTTTTTTTTTTTTATTGTTATCGCTTAAAATTCCATGTTAAGATTTTTATTTATTATAATACTTATTAAATATAAAAAAACTTGCCAATTTAAAATTGTTCAATTATATGATTTGTTCGAATTTCTCTGTGACTGACCCTCGATTAACAAATCTATAAGATGTCAGGATGGCCGAGCGGTCTAAGGCGCTGCGTTCAGGTCGCAGTCCACTTATGTGGGCGTGGGTTCGAATCCCACTTCTGACAAATTTTTTTATTTTAAATAGAAATAACTGACTTTTAGATATGATATGTATTTAAAGGTTATATTGAACTCCAATCTTGAATTTCCAAGACATAATCAAAACTAGCTTTACGCGATAATAATACAGTGTTGTGTTTTCTAGATCATTTATTTATTTATTTGTTCATAAATTGCCGCATGCGTAATCGTCAGAACGGACTAAGAAGAGCGGGCATCGTCGTCAACATGGCGGACGGCGATTTGTTGGTCACTATTTCAGGTGCAGCGCTTTCGCTGCTTTTCTTCGAAAATGTGCGCAGCGTCGGTGATCAGGTAAACCTAATAATATAACAATCTCTTGATCATTTTTTCCAATTTTCTCTGGTCAGAAATTTTGTTATTATTAATTAAACACACTTTTGTATCCATCATAACCTCTATTGCTACTTTTATGTATGATGAAAATAATGTTTTGTGATTTATAGGTGGGTTTTCTCCTTGGAGAGGCGCTCGAATACGTCGTCAAGACTTACACTGACTCCGATAATCAAGTGGAAACCGTCAAAATTCATATTAGTGAGTATATTTATCTTCCACATCTGTGTGTAAACAACAAATGAGAAAAAGAAAATCAGATGCAAATTGAACAAATAATTCATTTTAAACACAAAAAGTATATTAAAATACCGATTTTATTTCTAGTTCTGATATTATTATACTGTCTTTTTATATATAAACAAGATTTAAAACATTGAAATCATTACTCAGCATTGAAAAAAAAGTAACGATTAACATATAATTTTTCGAAATTGGGAAATCTATAATAATGTAATAAGCATATGTGAAAGTATTATATATATATATATATATATATATATATCTCATAAACATCTTCACTATTTTAATTACAAATAATAAAGAATTAACTATTGCTGTTATTACTACTATTATTATTTATATTTTTATCAATATTATAAATATAATATTATGCTAGCATTTATTATAATTTATTATCTTATGAAAATTATAAATACTTTTAGATGTGGAGACTATCGTGACGTACCCTATGTCTGATCTCATGCATTCCTTTCCTCGGATCGATAAGGAAAAGCTGAAAGACTTTATACGTGACAAAAGCAAGCAAGTGATTGGCTGGTTTCATTTTCACAGAAACAGTAACAGTTTGACTCCTACATTAAGGGATAAAGTGCTGCATAAACAGTTTGCTTCATACTTCTCTGTAGAAAACGGTTGTAAAGAAGAATTCTTTCTTACTTGCCTTCTTAGTGCCTCTACTTCCGAGACACGAGGCACCCACAAATTTCGACATGTGTTCCTTAGACGTAATCGAGGGTAAATTTCTATTTAATTGATTTAATATTTAAAATTTTAATAAATCAATAAATGATATTTTTAATTAACATATATTTTCATATATTGCGAAACGAAATAATTAACTATTTTGAATGACAAAACTTGTTTATATTGTAATTTATAAGATTTATATTATTTCTAGGATACTCGAACCGGTATCACTAAGAATAAATAATCTTGGCGATGACGCATCCAGACACGATGGCTCAGATTACAAACCAACACCCGTTAGAAAATCTGCACGTGAATCTGATAGCTTCACCGAACTGATAAAATCACTAAAGTAAGTAAACATTTATCAATGTAACCATTATTAGATAATTTTGTACAAAATATTAGTTTTATATACACAATTTAGAAGTAGTTTTCACTTTTGTATAGTGTGTAAAAGCAAAAAAATATTTTTCAACATGATATATAATACTTTGTTATCAAAAGACGTTGGCTTCATAAGAGATAAGCCTTTATTATATTATATGATTCAATTACACTAGCAATTAATAGCGATATGTATTCTTTAGTTTGGACATGACAAGGATAGGTGGCTTAGATTCCGCTATGAAAATTCAGAAAGCCGCTGAACATCATTTGATGTCGCTGATTCCGAAAGTGTGTGAATCAGACATGGAGGTGACCGAATTAGAAAAACAAGTCCACGAATTGAAAGCCATAATTGCAGCGCAGCAATTGGCCAAGAAATCTAATGTCAATGGTGAGAACTGTGAGAGAACTAAGACAAGCAGAGAAAATTGCATTTCAGAGAAAATCAATCTTTTGATGAAAAATGAAATCAAAATCGGCGATGGTGGGCGTCTCCAAAGAGAGCACATGCCGTCCTGCGTATGTTATTTTGAAAATTTCTATTATTACAATAATATGTAACACTTAGAATATTTTCCATCAATTGCACTTTTTTACGGGTTTTTTCTTTAATTTTGTATCGACTTTTTTATCAAAAATTTAATGTAAACGTTTTATATTTCACTTTTTAAATTTTTAATGCGATATTTCAGTGAGAAAACTTTTAATTAATATTTTAGGAAAAATAATTAGTATCAATACTCGGATAACAAATCAAACATTCGATAATGTCTGAATTACTATTCTAGGCTCAAGCAAACACCAATAGTCGAATTTCCCACCGCAATACCGCCGCCTATCTCAGTAACAGTTTAAACCAGGAGAAAATACGCCGACGAGGACGCGGCATTCCGATGGAGGGTAGCAAACAACAGCAGAATACACTGGACCCTTTTGTCACCAACAGCAAGCGTTCTATACCAGAAATTGCTACCGAATCAATATGTCAGGAAGGTTGTGAGGCAAGCATAGGTAGGGGTAGAGGCAGCGGTCGGAGCAACCATGAATTCGTACCTGGAATGAAGAACGCGCGATGCGTTCCAAGCACACAGATGCAGTCGTCATCTCCCGAACAAGATTTTTCCGACGCAGAGAGTCCCAATGTCATACCGGCCAGTCCCCCTCTTCACAGGTGAGATACTAAAAATAAGAAAAGAATGGCTTCTCGTACTAAAAAAAATATAAAAACAAATATTAACTAAATTTTTTATATACAATATAATATCTCAATAAGTACTTGAAAAATGCTGGTATAATAAACGAGATAAATTATTTTAATAACACTTATTTTTATTCTAGGTCCTACAGTCAGGCGACAAAAAAGACAAATGTGGACAAAGGCAATACAATGGCATCATTGGATATTTGAGTGTAAGAATTAAGCTCTGCAGAAATTGCGCTTTCAGACTCTCTCAAATTTCAGATATATTAAATAAATCGAAGATCTGAAAGAATCTGAAAGAATATAAAGGTAAGGAAGAAATTCCAATGTCATAAAAAGCGCGAAATCAAGGAAAATTGAAGAAAATCTGAAGAAAACTGCGCTTGTGAATTTTGAGAGAGAGATGCAATTGACTTAATGATTAGAAGCGATTTTTGTATCGATTATTCTATTTATAGGTGCCTTAAATTCCACACAAAAATTTGAGAAACCTTCAGAGTTAAAAAAAAAAAATTATGCATTTTATTATTTTATGTTTATCATTCTATATTGTTTATCGTGCCATTGAGTTTCCGTACGGAATGAACATGTTTTGCTATAAAGCGAGTATAAACTTTTAATTACTATTTGATTATTAAAGATACTTTGTAAATAAAAAAACGCAAATGATTGTTACTTCATCTTGTGTTGTATAAATAAAACAATAATTTAATAAATAATCTACATAATTAATACCTTAGTCAACCCCTTGACTGTATCATATATGTATAGCTATTGAGAACTCTGTAATAAAAATATGTAGTTTTAGGAAAATTGAACCTTTTTGTGGCTAATTTGTGACATTCTACATAGATTAATATGAAAATAGGAAATTTGTATAATATATCGTAATTTTAGTATTTTATTTAAAAATTTTGAGAAAACAGTTTTACGTATTACAGCCAAAGGATTAATATTATGAAAAATAAAGATCCGAAAGGTGTAGAAACTTATAGAAAAAATTTAAGATTCTCCTAAATATCACAGAAATTCGAATCTAAAAAAAATTTTCAAAAATTTAAATTAAAAATGCACAAAAATTTAAATTCAAGATCTAAAGATCTATAAAGATTATGGAACTCTTTTGCTCAAGGAATGTAAGTTTAGAATATATCTGTGGGATTGTTGGGCACTCCGGTAACCTCCCAGATAGTAGCTGCCAGTCTTCGGGAATGTTCCAAAACGCAGGTTGATGTAGTCAATCCCAAATGCACGCAATACAGTTCATAAATTCGGACCTTCCTCGGTGAAAGTTTGGGGAAACATGTTTCAGTAAGTTTCCTGTGCAGAGAAAAAAAATTATTTAAAAATCTCAACTTTTCGTGAGGTTTAAGTTATAGCATCATTATATTTTCATATTTTGGAAAAGAATTGTATAAATAATAAAATTAATAAATATGTAATATTTAAAATATTCTAATATGTAATGGTATAAGTTCTAACATTACAATATGAAATACATATTTTCATATAAAAAAAACTTTACACACAAAAGAAAAATATTTACATTACAGAAGATAACTTGAAATATTACCTGTAATAATCTCCACAAAGTATCCCTGGTACTGGAAAATTTTTCATTACATAATTCAAATAGACTTTACATTTCGGCGGTGAACATCCCTAAATATAAAAAAAAAAATTATAAATATTTGTTAATTTTACTTTATTTATTTATTAATGTTTTCTTATGAAACTGCACTTACAGAATTATCCTCAAACCATAGAAAATAAGAATAATTGAATGTAGTGTCCTTCCACATAACTGAAAGATGACCTTCCTGCAAATGCATTCTGCTTTGCTCAACCATGTTCCAGATCTAAAAAAGATATTTCTTATATAAACCTTCTCTATTTATAGCCAGGACCTTGAATCATTATACAATAGTGCCTTATTTAATATTGTTTTGTATTAGCCTAAGACCTACGTTTAATATGCTTAATTAATAAAGCTGAATACTTAATCGTATTAAATTCTATATACACTTCATCAATAAAACTTACTTTCTTCGTCGTAAGAGCAAGCGTTTCGTTACTTGTAAAGTCCAATGTTGGTGCTACAAGTCTATGAGTCGTCCTGTCGATGTAAATGAAGTGCACCAATCCCGGAAACTCCTCCAGATACTTGTTGATAGTTAGGGAAGTTCTCGTGGAAGAACACGCAACATTAAGGAGGCATACTAAATAAAAGTATTCATAAATTACCGCGTCGTTGCGCGTACGCAACATCATTTTTATATCAAAATATTTTCAAATAACATTTCGAAAAAAAAACAAAGTAAATATAATTGAAAAAAGTTAATAATGCATTTTACACACATTTCGAAATTTAAAAATAAATAAAATTAAAAATGTTTTTTCATATTGTTGAATTTGATAAACTAATATTTTTTTATGTTAAAATATATCAGATTTAAATAAAAAAAGTTATAATCGTATTTTCAAGCTCTAGAAAAGGATATGATCCTAGTGTGAAGTTCTTCAGAGCTTTGACTTTCAAAAAGTCGCTGAAGTCATTCAATTTTTGTCTCACGAGTCTACCGACCGTCGTCAGAACATCAATTCCTTGCTTTAGGAAATTTCTATCAAAACATGTCAAACGTAACAACTCTTTTAAAGTTTCCACGAAACCGGAAATATTAGCCTCGATCTGTAGGACTACTTCGAGATCTCTGGAACGCAGAAGATCGTTGTACTTTTTCCGACAAAATCCCACTTGGTCTGTAATCTCTTCTGACACATATCGACGTCGTTACTGACATTCGAACGATTTTTTTAAATTCCTTCCAGCACCTTTTTGATCGCTATATCGAGGTTCTCGAAAGCAGGCTTCAACTCGTCGAGGTCTCGTTGAAACTGCAAGGTATTTATCATATTTAAATAGTGAAAACTGTCGCATAATCCCGAGGAAGTAGAAAGATTTGTGGCTTCAACAATTGTTATCAAATTGATGGAATCTGATAACTCAAAGATGTGAACTGCGTTGGCCGTGTAGTTATGCTGATAGCCGAGGAAGAGCAATTGGCTGTAGAGATCATCATCGGTTAAAGATGAAAGACCTTCGTTCACGGAAGACTCTCTGGATCCCCCTAAATAGAT